TATTATTTTTTAAAAGCTATTTGACAACAATAAATTAAAAATGCTTCCATAATACTAAAATCATCAACAGTTCAATCAATATATAAACAATGCACTAACCTGCACCAGCCTCTCTCCAACATAAAGGGGCGAGCTAGCAGTTGCTGCTGAGGAATCGTCTTCATCTGACTCACTGTCTACTCAAAATTAAAAAGCCAAGAATAGGTGATCTTTTATTTTGCAACAACCTGACAAAGTGTGGCTCATTTGAGCCTTTAAAAAAAAGAAATTGATTACATTGTCCTAAGTTAAACTGAAGTTCCAAAAACATTAAATAATTTTATTCCAAATATTAAGACATCATGCCTTAAATTTTTCTTGCTCACAATCACAATCCAACATTTCCAAAATTCAGTTACCATGACAGTTAACAATTATCAGATTTGACATACATCTGCTATTTACAATAATGCATGAGTGTCAAACAGTCTTACCTTGATCAAACTCAAATAATTTTTGAGCCGTTTCCGAAATTTTCCTTTGAAGTTCTTCTGTCAGTATTTCCGAGTCTTCAGTAGCTACTGCTGTATCTGTTTCCTCTTCTGCCTCTTCTTTTTCAGCTTCTTCCTTTCTCACTCCACATGCTAGGTAAATACATTTTTAAGAGCAAAAAATACAAAATTCATTTAGAGTAATTAAAGTACTTGGTAGCTTCTGCGTATGACTTGGGAATGATTTTCAGCAAGTGTGAATAAACACGTACACACTAAAAGTAATTGCAGAACCCTTAAACATCGTACCGCATCATATTGACTAGACAGCACTTATTGAAGCATGTAATTTCCAAAAACAAAAACTCAATTGCTCTTACCGCCATCGATGTGTTCAACCAATTTCTTGTTAAGACAACATTTTGGAATCTTGTAGCCCTTTACTGTTTTTGATTTGTCAGTTTTCCTTCTTACATCCTGAATTGAGGCACTCTGGTCTGTTGCAAAGAGAATTGCTGATTTTGCCTTGAGTGGATCGCACACTTTCTCAATCTCCTGGGCTACCTCCTGCAAAAACAAGAGAATTACATGCAATTCAAAATCTTTGAAAACAGGAGAACACCTATGATGAAAAAGAACTCTAAGAATCTGCAGGAATGTATTGTTGAAGTTTGTAATATTTCTCAAACAATATTGCTGGTTCCAGCCAACATATAGCACTTGTAACAAACATCACGGTTCTTTCAACTAGAATTTTGCTGCCTAATTATTGATATGAATCCCATGTTTTTTTCATCAAAATTTCTTTCAAGTTTGTGGACAAAAATCCCCTTTTCATGTAGTTTTGGATTTGAAACATGTCCAATGTATTTTCTTGGCTCACTTTGTTCTCCAAGCAGGGTCCATGTTGGTTGCCAAGGTAAGAATAAAACACATCCAACTACAATTTGCATTTGGCTGGCAGTCTGATCAGATTAGCAGTAATGTGCCAGGCCATAAATAGTGGCCATGGTTTTGTCAGTTGCTGGTAATGGGTATTAATTGATACATAAGACAAACATTTGCTTGGAAATTCATGTTCACTTCTTTCTGTTTTATCGTCCAGGAGTTTTATCTCCAAATTTGACACAGAAATTCAATAAGCGACAGTTTGACAGCCATTTTTGATTACTTAAAAGATGAGCGAAAAAATGGGCCTATAGTAGGAACCACTCTCCTTGTACTACAATTGAACTTGATCCGTGCTGTAACTTCAAGCAATGCAGCTGCACTCAGCACAATACTCTGAAGTATTTTTTATTAATTTTTTTGTTAATATATTAACAATATTTTTAGTTCAATTTATTAATGTGATACTGCTGACAAAAAATAATATTCAGCTGTATACTTCAAATGAGTATATGGAATTGATGCCAATTCTGCCACAAAAGAGCAAAAATTGTCTTCAAATAGGTTCCCTCAAGCCTTAACAGCATGCAAACTTTGGGGTATGTTTTTAATCAGTGACTGTTACATCTGAACAGAATACTTACTATGCTTTTTAAACTGGTGAAAGTAGCAAATTCTCGTATGGGTATGGCAATGGCAGGAACAAATTCCCCTCCAGCTGCTACACTCACGCACGGGTTTAGCCATGACAAGACCTGTAAGACCAGTAAACAAAACTTTGTTTAGTAAAATGTCTTTTCTACATAAGACAATCTTATATATGCAAAATGTTGCTATACAATATGTTACTTTCTACAATTTACTTACGAAGAAGGTGAAAGTTGGCGACTGCCTAAGACCACTTACAAACTGTGATGTTTCTAGTTTGGCTGTTATTTCTGCCTCAAGACGCTTCCAGAAGGGACAATGCTGTTGTTGCATTGTCCTTCCAGAAGAGGCCAAAACTCTTAGGGCTTGCATCGTGTCTGGATTTTCACCAGCTATTTGATGGAGCTGTGAGAACAAGTGAAGAGAAAGGCATATAAGCTGAGCAAATATTAAATGTAAGAATATACATCCCAAGCAAAGAAATGCAGGTTAATCTTCTATGAAGTACAGTAAAAACCTGCAACTAAGAACCTAAAAATTAAGAACCTGTTAGCCTAAAATTGGTCATTTATACCCCTATAAACAAGAACCTATTTAGCCTAAGAAATTTAAAACAGGTTCTTATTTTCGAAAATCATACTAAGCAAAAAAAGCAGATTGCCATTGTTGTAAAAATGTTTTTTAAAGAAAAATGAGTGCAAGATATGTAGACTTACAAAGCAAACTAACTACTTTTTCTCCAGGATTAAGAACCCATTTTAAGAACCTAAATAGCCTAAAATTCTGTTAACTACTATCTATATAAGAACCTGTTTAGGCTAACTCCAAAAAATGTAGGTTCTTAGTTGCGGGTTTTTACTGTAATCTCAACTGAATTTTAAGTTGCGGTAATCAGTAGACTATAATAAATTTATTTTAGTTACGTAGGATTGGTCTTGTTAATGCTGTGTTGCACAATTTTGTTAAGTGAAAAAGTAAAGTGAAGATGCCGGACAAGCTCATAGTTGATTCTGTATACGTATGTAGACTATATGGACATTTAACCTTTAGGACACCCGGCCTACTTTTCTTAGAACCTAATTAGCCTTAAATGCTAGAAACCTTTTGATATGTCAACTAATCAGCTATTTGAAGAAACAAAGTGGGTAAAATTAGTGCAGTTACATTGTCATCATGAGATGATAAAATTTAAAGGTGCGTAGCACTTGCAACATCTAAAACTTGATTGACCAAGACTTAGAATAAACAATATTATTAAACCCTACATAGTGGCCTGTCCCCTCTTCCTTATCAACAATCAACATAAACCATACGTACATGTAAGACACAGTGCACTACTGCCAAACAAGCAAACAAACACTATGCAAAATTATACTTACAACAATGTAAGTATACACTAGGTTTGCTGTCCCTTTATGCCATCTTGGCTGCTGATCAGGGACAAGTTTAATAAGTGTATCTCGCAGAATGTCCACTAGGGCATCGTTTCTCCCATTGCAGTTCAGCCACCTTGGGAGGAACAGCATTGTCCAAGCCACCAAAAATCCCTATGTCATTGAATGCAAACGTTCAGGTTACAGAAATATTGTCAACATGTGCTCGTAACTACAAAACTACACACTCACATACAGCTTGCAAATGTTGACCATAACGCATGGCCTCTGCACTGAATTACATCATTTTGTAATCCACTGTGCACTTCTGATAATTAAAAATCTATCATAGCTATCTTGAAGTGGCCAGCCATCTAAGAGATAGGAGGGGCTTTCAGTAGCAAACAAAACCACGACCCCAAGTGATATGCAAATAAAATCAAGTCTTACTTTGTTGCTTGTGACCAGGTCCTTCAGACCTTGCTGCAAGGTGGACTCGTCCTGTTTGTTAAACTGTGAATCCTTTACATAGTCCAATCTTATGATTCTGCCATGAATTCTAACAATAGTAATACGAGACAAGTTCATAACTAATGAGGAAAATGATGCAAAAAATCTCATTCAGGGCATGGATGAGTGTGAATGTTATCAGCTTTTGATTACAAAAATTGCGTCCCATGCAGTAATGCAACATGGTCAGTGAAAATCTTCCTTCAATTACTATGTTGGCACAAGATTGTCTTTATATTGAACAATTTTTCATGTTAGAGAAACATCTACAGTTGTGGAGGCCTGAAACGACTTTATCTCTCCCACAATCATAGGATAGCTGGCCGATAGCTGGACGAGTGTCAGAGCAAAATTTTGTTGAATGCAATCTTGGAATCCTCACACAACTTTGATAACGGGGGAGGGGACATGAATTGAACCCTACTTTAATCCTTAACGGTTACAGTGTACAAAGTATTTTTGCTTGGTTGAGGCACAACACGGCATGAACTGGCATAGCATAACATAACTTATTGCATGAACAAAAAACACAATTTACATAATAATACTAAAATCACCTCGCACATTCAGCAGAGTTTGTCGACATTATTACGCTCCCCTTAGGGCTGCTCAGGCCACTTTTCATCGAGCCCTGGGGCAACCCACTTTGAATTTGGAGAAGAAATTCTGCCAGTGAGTTTGTTAGCACAGGGTCGTCGAGGCAACATGTCAGAGTGGTACTCTGCATGGCATGCATTATCACCTTTCTGAAGACAAAAAGATGCAAGCATTAACATTTTTATGCATATATTTCGAGTATTTTCTTGTGAACATTTACGTCGAGTAAAATTACATTTTATTCCATCCCTATGCCTCTATGGTGAAAGGTCACCATGATAACAAGTTCAAGCCTATAGGCTTCAGGATGGTTGCAATAGCATAAGTTATGTAGTGATTACGACAAATGATAAATAATATTGTAGATCATCTTGCATACTTTCCTTGTGTATTGAATAACTGTAGGACTTCAGTGACTCTTATTAACCTTTTCACGTAAACTCCATTATAAAACAAAGTTAACTTTGTATCCTATTTTCCAAACAACCCATATCTCTAATAGTATTGTAGTGCATTATCTTAAGAAACTTACAAAGATGTGCCGCTGACATTCTGATCCCCCCCCAGAACACAGCAAGGGATGCGCACGCCTGTCTATTCCTTGTCCTCTTGCAAGAATTTGCAATGTAAGGCTTTTTCCAACATTTCTTTCGTTCGAACATACCACTCCAATGCTACTTTGATCTGTGCAAACAATAACAATATAGCAGTATCTAAGTATGGACACTTCACAGGAAAACATGTTCTTATTGGGTGCCAACATGATATGCTTCCTTGCCAAACATTTGGGGGCAGCTAAATGGTGAATGGGAAACCTTTGATGCATTACACCTACTGGAGGTGCATGTAGCCACAATCTCAATCATCTAAGTTTGTAAATCCTTAGACAGTCAGATATACAGGGGTTGCAGTTGCTCTCATTCTTAATATCAAAAGCATATCAAAACCTTTAAGCACAGCAACAGTTAATTTTTTAAAGCACTCTTTTGAGCTCTAAGATTCCAAAAAAAAGATTCTCTCAAAAACAAAAAAATTGTTAAACTAGAATCGGGCATGAAAAGTAAAACAAGCTGCACCCCTCCTCTTTCAATTCCCTCTTTAATGATGTCAGTAGTTTTGTTAACATTAAATCCTGCATGTTCGCGCAAACCAACACTCCAGTTTTAATTTGAAGATTGTAATCGTCCAATTGACCACTCCAGAAAATACCATAAGATACCATAAACTGCTCTCTGTTTGTCACCCCGAAATCTTACATTAACCAGCGTTTTCAGTTTCTCGTGTGAATTAAAACGGCCCCAACAGAAACTGAAAGCAATACTTATGCATAATTTTGAGGTGACAAACAAAGAGCATTAACATTATCGTATCTTATGGTATTTTCTGGAGTGGTCAATGCAGGTAGCCTGGTAGTTGTTCTTACCCGAAAAGTCTTCTCCTAGTCTTGTGAGCACCGCCTTCACTCCACTCCAGATTACAAATGAGGTGGACAGTAAAAATGCTGTTGCATTTTTTCTGAAATGAGCTGATAGCTCCAAATACCTTCATGAATTAACAACAAAACATGGTTGTTGTGGAACATGTAAGTCATTCATACGATATTTCGTCAAATAAGACAAAGGGTTTGAAATCATAGATTTACCTTGGCAAGCATTTAATTTTAGAAATCTATGTACATTTTGAATGCAACTGCAACTGCATCTTCATTTGCATTTGTTTGTTTGCTTGCTTTTTTTTTTTAAACTCTGGGCAGTTTTTACGCTTTTTTTTGGAAAAAGTTGTGTACGCTGCCCAGCACACAGATATTGCATTGGAATCAATACCTGTCAACGTCACTTACTCTCTGGTTAATCCTAAACTTTATTATTCACAGTAATGACAAAGGGGAAATTGTGAGTAGGACAGACTACCCTTAAACCATTCTAACCCCACTCTACAATCAAGCTTGCACAACAGAGGCTGCAACAATATGGTGCAAGGAAAACATTTGCTGCAGGGGAAATTCACCCTTACAGGGCATGTTCATTGATATTACTGACAATAAAGAAATTCCCAGTCCACCCAAGAAACAAAAGGATATATACCTTTTAGTCACTGACTTTACAACATCGCGCTCTAAAACGTGGGGCATTATAACTGTTGAAAAGGTCGTCAGGGATGTATCTGACAGGAAATGAGTATGGCGTGTTGGAGGCAATATTTTTCCATTCTGCACATGAAGCTAAACAAAAAAAAAGTCAATTTTTTTGGTTTTGAAGGTATTGTTGCCATTTTCATATATGGTATGACCTACTCCACACGTGTCAATTTCTAAGTACAATAAAAATTATGTATGGGAAGTACTAGGTACTTTCCAATATTTCACCCGGAAGTTCATAATATTATTAATAATAAAGTAAAATTAAGAATTTCATTGGTATTTAGATTCTCTGATAGAAGGAAATTAGAAAATAAGAGTGCATAGTTTAGATGGGATCTATTTGATAGAGCTATAGGGCCTGTGTCCTCTTGATTTAGTAGAAAAAGAACTTCTGTAGATTTTAACTCCAAACTCCAAGCCTACAAATGTACAATAATTATTATTGGTTTACCTTCAAATCATAAATTAAGTTAACCTCATAAATACTTACATCAGGCGATAGAATCCAATAAGTTCCTGACTGAAATCCGAAGTGGTCTGAATGGAAGAAGACCCGTTTATCACGGTCGGGATCGGAAAGAGCGTCCTCCTTCAGCGAGGAATAATAGTCTGCGAGAGTATTCGTAGCTATATTCCCCGCTAAATTAAATGTCCCGCCACCAAACCTTCTGCGTAGCTGTTCAAGGAAGCGGTGCCTCGAATTGAAAGCACTCGCGGATAACACAACCGTCCTGCAAAAGAGAAATTCATTTCCAAATTTCCTCTCTGACACATTTAAAATCGTGGTTAAAAAAATGCATTTAGATTCTAAGACGAGATTCTAAGATGAGATTCGAAGATTTGCTCGCGCGTTAGATCATTTTGGCGGGAAAGGGTGTTGCACTGGTTTTACTACGAGTTCTGGCGAAAACAAGATATCAAATCTTGGAAGTTTTATCATTTTGCGATCGGGAAAGCGCGAAACCTCCTTCATTAAAGATCACAGTGCTAAATTTTGTAGTGAAATATGGTAAAATGACGCTTTCCGGGAAGTATGTATTTTGAAAATACACGAAAACACTTTTAGCGCAAATCTCTTAGTCGTCCAGGCATGCAGGGCACCGCGCGGGTTATTCTGGGAAGTTGACACCTACTCTTTTCCCAGAGTCCTTGTCTTCATTGTGTTCAACAGGGGAAATGGCAAGCGATGTTGGAAAGGCGGTACGCAGTTTGACGAACTTTCGCCTTGAATTTTGAAGAAAAAAAGGAAAATAGCTTCGCTAGACTACAGAATGGCAACAGAATTATCAGAAAAGGAGACATGGCGTAGAGATGGGTTATATTAGAAAAAAATAAAAGCAGATTACATTCCGCTCACCGTTGCCTCAATCGGAGACGATATTCGACCCTAGAATTTGCTGCAAAAAAAGCGCATTCAAGGTAAATTCGAAATTAATTGAAATGTTAATTTTGCCGATTTTATATTGACGTTGAAAGGAACTTATGCATAAAGGCGCAGCGTGTCATTCGCCAATCTTTTGGTTGAAGGTCATAAAGGGAAAGGAGTAACGAAAAATAAGGAAAATAATTTGCAAAAAAAAACCTATAACTACTTGGGAAATTCTTTCTAGACGTTTTTCTATTCTATTGGAACAACAATAGTACCGGACAGTGTCCACATGGAACTTTCCGCTTACCTTGTTTCTAAGCGTCCCATCACATGAGCGGTGCACGAGGCCACCCAATGTCCCTCCCTTTCTTCCACCTCGCCTTGAAAACTTAGCTCTCCCATTAGCTTGAGAGAGAAGTCTCCAAATTCTTGACGCTCGCTCGTATACAAAACGTAAGTTTTGCCATTCTCAATAATGAACTTTGGTCTTGAAGACTATGAACAAGAAATGCCAGAAATATTACTTGAAATTGTTCCCATTAAAGGCCTTTCAAAATGCAGAACAGAGACGCGAAATTTGCGAATTGGACATTGAAAAATTACCTTAGCCTTTTTTGACTTCTCTGTCCCTTTGTCTCTATCCATCTTGTAGAAATTCTTTCAAACTGCAATGCTGCACGAGGGAGTGAAAGTTGAGCGCTTACTCCGATCGCTTATACACAAGATTCCAGATTTTATCAGCCAATCAGACAGTCCAGCAACCAATCAGCCCGGAAACACAGTTAGTGCAGAAAAATGATCACAAGACGACAGAAAACAGGTCTTGTCACCTACAGCGTTCACATTTCCAGCCGCTGATGCCGTTTTGATTAGCCAGGTCGGCGATTTGCAGCAACTTTTTCAAAAAGACAAGGATAGCGCGATTCATGCGAAACAATTGCGGCCCGGAGAGTGGAGTGGATCTTTTCTATTGGTCATACAGTACGTCTGATTTTGAAAATAAAAGGCGATAGCATAAACCCGCGGACGGGGGGAGGGCACATCCTTATAAGAGGTTAATCGGGATCTGCAGCTGGATGGATTCGCATTTGCACTAGAGTTACTAGAATTGGGTCGCAAGACAAGTCAAATTTGCTCGGAAGTGACTAAGATGGGTTCTATAATTGGCCACAGATTAGACTATTTTGGGGTAGGGTGTCTGTGAGACCAACGGCACATTAACCCAATACCCCGCCCCCCGGATCAGAAAAAAACAATGGAAACAAAGACGAGTTTGTTACTCGATAATGCCATAATTAATTCGACAATAAAGCGACAAAGATGACAGATAATGTTCTCCTAGCGGGATATACATGTGTTTTACGCCTTTACTTAGGTAAGATCTTGATGAGGTCCTTTTTTGGCCAGGTCAAGGATGTGCCAAAACCTTCGCCATCTCAGTCAAAGGGTAGCCCGCTATTCCAGGCGCTCAGATATTGGGAAGACTGGGAAGACGCGAAAAGAAAAAGGCACGCGAAAAGTTAGCCTGAGTATCAGGCCTTCCTAAGGATCTAGGGGAGAGGAGATTTTAGATGGGGGAGGGGGGAGGGGGAGAAGAGAAAGGAAGGGTTCTTCTCTCCTTCAGCTCTCTCCCTTTTTCGCTTCCATCTTTCCCCTTTCCCCCCAGAAACGCCTGATTAGTTTACAGTATAAAAACAAAGACAATGCGTAGTATCAACCATAAAATTTAAATAGAATCAAAAACCAAGGTCGCAAATAAATCCTCTGCGCCCTGCGCAAAAATTGCCTGAAGAATCTATAGCTTGAGGAAGACTAAAAACTTCTAGATGACAGTTCCATTCATGCAATAAATAAATAATAAATTCCCAATAAATTCTCATAAATTCCCTGCGATTTTCTTGAGATCAGTTTCTTGCGTTTCAGTCCCCAGGTTAGGCTATTTTTCGTACAAAAAGGAAACCTAAAATTGTCGGATTCGAAAATGCGATGGCGAGGAATCAGGAAATTTATCACTTTCGTAAACCTTAAAACTGCATCATAAATTTTCGGGAAAATAATACTGAGGCCCCTGTAATTTCGAAACACTCGAGTTCCCCAAGGATGACCAAACAGATACAAATACTATAGCGCCGCCTAGAATCCATGTCTAAAGATTCAGAGACCTATAAGTACTCTGGGTAGCCTAAAAAGTGTTTTCAATGCATTTAGGAGGAAACCTTCGTTGGGTGCCCCTGACTTGTGATACCTGCGAGAACTAAATCATTCCCAGAGAACAGGAGTCTTGCGTCGTTTTGAAAAACATTTCACGAACAACAATCGTTTAATTGTAATAAGATAGTGTTCCGAATCAGTTATCAGACGCGGATAAGGTGTTCAAAATCCTCATGAAAAATCATTCTCAGGACAATAATACCGACGGCAATAATAACAGAATACAGTTTTTCCGAAGAAGCTGAAGAAGGAGAGCAACAAGAAACTCCCCGTTTGAAACAAGCGAGAAGGGATGATGGTATGAATGAAGAGGTATAAGTCCTATAAAACAGAAGCCAGCATGAGGACTATAGGAAAAATATATTGGCAGGAAAATGTCTTGTTCCTCCAGGGCTCCTGAAAGAACTGGGACTGAGAGAGATCAAAACATAAAGATAGTAAAACAGGAAGAACCCTGCATTTTATCGGATAGTCCGGCTGCAGTCACAAACTGACGAGGAAGTTGCGCGACTGAAAGTGGACAGCTGCTCCGAAGAAAAGTGTACCCGTCATAAAATTGTGCAGAAGAAGTTTGAGACTATCGGCCCTAGAACAGCGGAGCCTCTTTACAACGCCCGCGAGATCGCGAAACGTCGTTTGTCAAAAACACCACAAAGAAAAAGCGTAAGAAACACGCGGAGATGGCTCGTTAAGAGTTAAACACTCTCAGGTGCAAATAAGGCTTCTCGTAGCAAGCGTTTCCGTCCGTTTCGAAAAACCGAAAATCCCGATCCTAGGTCTTTCTTTGCTCCGAAAAAACGCTTGCAACCAATGCTAGAAATCTTGTTGCCGCTATTGTCAAAAACTCTTGCATTACAACAAAACCGTCTAGAGAGTTACACTTGTTTTAAAGAGGAAAGAAAAACGAAAGGATGATGAAAGGAAGAGGTAAAAAGGGCTAACTATGCCCGTCTAGACGTGGCAACGGGTAAAAAGGATACTTTTCCCACAGTGAATTTATTCATCGCTGCTGCCACGGAATTACTGAAACGAATTGAGAATCATCCCGCCGGTTTGGAAAATGGCCCATATTACTGACTAGCAATAAGCTTCTTTTTATAAATTTCTGCTATATGAAATAGAATTCTTTTTCAAAGTGGATAAAAAGAAAAATTGCTGAGAGCCCTTTGCATCCAAGATATTCCATTAGATCATTCTCGGGCTATTAAAGGACAAATATTTTGTTTAAAAGGAAAATTCAGCTCAACAAAATATTAAAGCAGATAGGTCTGGATTCTTTATTAGCTAAAATTTGAAATAACAATGAAGCTTAGAGTGCAAACAGAATTTATGGCAAATACAAATGTACGAGGATTACTCTATAACACACGATGAGCATAAAATTTTACAATTTAACGTTACTGATTCACGTATATTGCAAGTACCCTACTATTTAACTGCTTTACCCATCTTGGCCAATGGACTGCTCTTGAAAAATTACCTCCCCGTAAACGAGGGTGCCAATGGGAGTACCCAGTTCTCAGTCTGAACTACACAATTTTCGGCCAGTTCTCAGTTAACTACTAATTTTGGTTAGCTGGCAACTTTCACTTTCCTTCAGCGAATATTATCCCGTCATAAACCGAATTTTCGTTACTTCAGCAAGTCAAGCACTTTTAAGGGGGTAGGCCGTACTAAAATCAAGGTTTAAAATTAGATGAATTTACTCCGCCAGTAGTACCATTTATAAGTAACTGAAAATATAGAATTAAAAGAACACACAGTAACTATCTTTGAAGTAGTAAAAATGCGTAGCGATAGCTATTAAGACTCCAATTAACCGATTTTTGCTTCAAGTAACAACAACAACAGTTTATTCAATTGTCAAATGAGTTAGGTCTATTTTACACACAATTAGCGGAGCTAGTCTAGATGGGCAACAACACAATAATTGTCTTATACAGTCGGCAAAATATAGAATAGTTTATTAAAACTCCCTTGCAGTAAAAAGAACGGAGTTATCGAGTACATTTTACAATCATAAGGCAACTATTATCTAGAGTAATAGTAATCTACAGTTATAACAATGAAAATAAAAAGTGAATCACTTAAAAAATTGAATGTAAAGAAGTCCTCCACTCTCTTTGTCCTACAGACCTGCATGTTCCGGAAAAGAGAATACTTTTGTGTTTTCTGCCTTAAGGTGTAGTTAGGCGCGTCCAGAAGTGGGCTGGGAAGTAGGTGGTGCAGAGGGTGGCTGGGGGACTTCATGTTCGCCATATATTTGTAGCACAAGAGTATTCTTGTATCATCTAACCTATCTAGTTTACCTAACTGTATGACTCTGTCTCGGGGTAGATTATGTTAAGCGCCCTTTTTCAAGATCTGCCAGTTCTTGCAGTTATTGAATAATCAATTAAATCAAACTTCAGAAGAGCTGGTATGTACCCCTCCCTTAGGGACTGGCTGTAAATGCCACAAACGAGGGGGGCTAATTCCAAAGCAAAATCTTTCAGAATGCGGTTAGGTTTGTTGTCAGGGCCGACTGCTTTTGATGTCTGAAGTGAGGACAAGGACTTGTATGCCTCATACTCTGAAATTAATATTTCATCAGGAACAGATAGCGGGGGCACTCCCTGGCACAGGGGTGGGAAATGGTCAGTCAGCCCAACAAAATAGCTATTGATCTTATTTGCTAAACGTTTGATGTCTGTCATTTTGTCATATCAAAACAACGTAAGTAAAGATAAAGCGAAAATAAAATGAAATATATAAGGAAGAAATATATAAGAAAGATATAAGGAAGGAAAACACTTAAACTGAGTAAGAAGTTCAGGTAGGAACTGGTAATGGTACTCATATCAACATACACCCTATTAGTCTCCAAAACCTTGATCAGTATTGGATGTAATTTACGCCTACCCTTTAATTTGCGCTGTTCACGTAACGTAAGAGGAATTTTGTTCCAAATTCTTACACCACTTCTAGAAAGAGATAATAATAGCTGACTGAGTCTAGATCTCTGGACATAAAAATTACCTGCGACAGAAAAGTACCAATTACATTAAGTCGTATAACCATCCGCTTACATCCAGATGCACCAGTCACACTCTCGTACTGATCTTCCCGACCTGGTCATGCATGTCCTGCTACAAACTTCTTCAAAGTCGTCTTCTTCGCCACTTTGTTTATCTGAATCAGTCTCGTACCTAACTGGTCGTTGTATGTCCTGTATCTTGTTGTTGACCTAAGTTTTAATCCATTTTCAATCCGCGCACTCCATTGCAACGACAAAAAAACAA